TTTCACGACAAAGTATTTGTTAGAAGTTGACTACACTTTGCGGATCACAGCTTGTTTGTGATGATCATCGCGAGAAAAGATTCCCTTAAGATATCTCTTTTCTGAAATTACATCATGTGGATGAAAAACAAAATAATGAACCGCGTATAACACATTGGATTCGATAGTCTAATCCATGTCCATTTCTGTCAATATAAGTCAAACTTAATTTAACTTTTTTAATTATAAAGATTAAAAAAGAACAAAGAAAAAAAATAGAAAAAGAATAAATTAAATTAAGATTATGATTAATCTACATTGATAAAAATGGATATGTGAGATCAAGAGGAATTTTTTCTTTGCGCGGGCCGCAAACAGAATTATCACATCTGTAATTATCTATTATACCCGTGAGTCATATCCCTGCCATATCCTATACATATATGTGTACGAAAGTCACGGGAGACACATTAAATCCCAGTACTTAAATATTTTCGCGTGTTTCTGCAGACAGTGATCGATCGATGCGGGGGAGGAAAAATCTGCGTTTGCGCAAACTTTATCGATTCGTAAAATACATTCCATTTTTTATACATAAACTTGCGTATATGATACGCAAGAAAAATATTGTCAACGCTGAAATCGTAAATTCGGATAACAACATATCATGTAAGAAATAACATTTCGATACCGGCATTACTGTCTACAGGAAGTAAGTGCACGCATCTTCCTAAACAAAGATATTTTATTAAATATGTTATACAATGGTGTCCTGAAAAAATATATACCAGTTAGAAATATACAGTGTTAGAAATTAATATTTCAAGGTAAAAATTTTCTGTATAATTATGTTTCATTTTTTTCATTATATCTTGATAAAAAGAAATCAAATCGTCATACTTTTACTAACGAAAATAAGATCAATTATTTTTAAAAATTCAATAAAAATATAATTTATTGAATTGGTAATACATTGATGAGTATTTTAAGCTAGTCAAAAGACAGAATTACAGTGTGGTATATATATTTTCAAAGCACTGTATATTTTATGCTCAAAGGCGCTTGGATGCAGTATTGGATATTACGTCTGTAATTAGTTTTAACGCGGTGCAATGCTCGTGAAACGAGTGAATACGTAGAATATACGATCAATTTTCAGATTTTAAATAGATTATAAAAGTTCTCGATCGTGATAAGATTATCTTGTATTCTTAGTATACCACGCCGAATAAGCGAGCTTTACTATTGCCGAGTGGCATATCGAATTATTCGCAGTGACCACATTGCGTCAGATCTTCCACGTGATAAGAAGAAAAGAGAAAACCTTTTCCTTTTTCTTTCCCCTATAGGTTACGTTAACTACGTAAAAGAAAAATCTGCACTGTGCACTCTCGTGAATTGAAAAATTTGTCGTAATACGTAGCAGTAATAGTGAAATTCAGAGAATTAGGTTTCGCATTACTGCACATTTAGGATCGCGATAATCCCGATAAATAAATGTTGTGTCACATGCGCGGGTGTGTGTGTGTGTGTGTGTGTGTGTGCGCGCGCGTGTGTGTGTGCGAGAAGTCTCGGATGAATGAGTGCGTGCGTGTGCAATTGTAACAATGTGATTTGCCGCTTTTAGATACGCCACGTATATAAATAATATCCCTCAATGCAGAAACAGAAAATAGCAAACTTTAGAGATCGGCGAAGACTGTAACTCGAGATATTAATCTTAGCGAATTAAAAAAC